AAAGTGATTCACAAAAGAGAGCTTGAAGCATGGACTCTTAGGGAACACTTGCGCAACTATGTACTTAAGCTAATATCTAAGTAAACGGAATATGCTTTCTTTAGGAAAAGAAACTTTCTGTTACAAAAATCACAGAGAAAAGAACATTTCTGCTCCAGAAAAAAATTGCACTAAAGAAATGAACTCCTGCTTATTGGCGGACATCTGTCTTACAGCTTCTCTCTGACACCCCTCCCTTCTTCCCCCCATTCCAGCCCATTAGATGGAGTAAATGCAGGCGCCAGCTTGATGGGAGGAAATGGATAGAAAAAAAAAAAACAACTGGAGATTCCTAAATGACATGTAACAAATGCATAGTACAAGATGACAAAACAAGCTGTTAGAATTTAACCAATAAAACTGGTGATTATAATTCTATTTCTTCGTAGATCTGACACATGTTTAACAGCTTAAAAAAACTCTTCAAAATACATTTTGTCCAAAACAATTTGCTAAATTCAAAGGTTTTTTGGACTTCATTGGTGAATTTAATTAATCAAATAAATAATCTGTATTAAGTTGATATAAAGTTGTATTAAGTCAGTATTTATAGACTTCAGCAAGTAATATTTGTCCATTTATGTTCCGTGTTCACATATGTTCATATATCAGGTCTCTTTCTCTTGTATCACAGTAGAAACATTTGCTTGGTTCTGTGCTGCAGAAAGACCATCACTGTTATCATCATGAAGTCATCTGGTTTGTCCTCCATGTTAAGACAAAAAAACAAAAGGAACTGGTTTGTGATTGAAGCATGAAACATTCATGAATTAGTCATAAGCAATCTAGTCTTAGAAGGTAGCATTTTATAACTATTTCTGCAACTGCAGCATCTAAGGAACTTAGTTTGCTAGCAAGTTTAGCATTAGCATTATGGGCAAATTAGCTAAAGATGGAGAGAAACATACATTTTACACAGAAATGTTTCTAACCACAGTTCTTTTGGCATTTATTAACCTTTTCTAAGCTGATATACTTATTCATATTATAACCCACATGCTGGACACCAGTATAAATTAGAATAACTGTTAACTGGACCTGACCCATTTCACTGCCTCAAGGAATATCTTCTATACTTCGACAAGATAAATCTTGAGAGGATCTACAAAATAAACTAGATGTAAGGAAAATGCTAAGAAAACGGAAAAGGCACAGAAATTTGCTAATTATTCTTGCAGATTTGTGGTTGGATGACATCTTTGCCATTACCCTAATATTTAGTTTCCTCCACAGATTCTCTTAGAATCAAATAAGGATTCTGACTGGTATATATTGCATTTTTTTTTATAGCTAAAGTTTACTGTTGTTCAAAATGCATTTTTATTGTGCAGAGAGTTGTGTACACTGTCTACAAAACAACATTCATATTGTGATGTTCAACCACAGAAAAACATGTTCTGTAAAGTGGTAACAATGTAGAGGAGGAAGCATGAACTTTATGCCACATACACACTCTTCCAATGTCCTGAAGCAATTATCAGGCGGAGTATGTCCTTTGGTCCACATGGACTCACACAATCATACACACACTTAAACACACACTCAGAAACAAAGTGCATATAAAGGGCTGGGCCCTTGAACTCTCTCTCTCGCTTCATTGGAAAAACATATCTCAAGGCAGGCTGCTACCTCCTCTCACAAACTGCTGACAAAATGCCTGCAGACTACAATGGACGCTGGGAGATGGTGACCAATGAAAACTTCGAGGATGTCATGAAGGCTCTTGGTAAGTTTCACTTTGATGCAACGCATGCAATTTGACCTCGTTCAATTGATTGTGAAAATTGTCTTGTTCAAATCAGAGTGCTATACTAAAAGACTGAGTCAGGAAGAAAAGGACGTCTGAGCAAAAAGCGTAACACCAGTGTGACAGAGAGAACAAGAATGCTGGTAGGAGAGTAACAGAAAGGGAAGAAAAAAAGAGGTGTGATGTGCAACTGCTTCATTTCCTCATTGAATTGCTGTCAGACAAAGTTAACCTCCTCTCTATGAGCAGTTGCTATCTGTTGCTGTGCCAAATACGTATTGATTCAGTCCCTTCTGCGTTTTCTTTGTTCCCCATCCAAGAAATAAAAGAGAGATTCTGACCCTGGATCAGCTGACGGGAGCTGGCTCTCCTCCTTGCGTGTCATTGATCACTCCCAGAAACACTTTCATTTTCACGACGACTCTATCTGCAATTCACAAAAAAACAAGCCACCATGCAGTGAGCTCAATCAAGAAATCCAGGGTGATCCTTGAGTCCTCAGACACATTTCCTTGGAGCAGACTGGAAAATGAGATCCTTATGGAAATGGGGCAGAAACTATCAGTCAGATGGTTAAATATGGTGCCCCATCTGTAAGAGTGATCGAAAGAAATTGAATTTCCACTTTAGGGCAAATAGGATATGAATATCTAAATGATTAGAATGGGTGGTTGACTGTAACAGAGTCTGATGGTAAAAGGGGTCAAAGAAAGTCATTCAGATCTAATCTAACTGAATTTAAGGTGATTTTTGACGGGTTATTGTCACATCTGTGCTTTGATGAATTCCATCAGCATCCAGGAGGAGAAGTTTTCACAACGTTACAAAAACATACATTAGAGTCTGTTTCTGACCACATCTGACCTCTCTTCACAAATCCAGACATTGACTTCGCCACCAGGAAGATTGCCACCCATCTGCATCAGACAAAAGTGATTGTGCAGAACGGAGACAAGTTTGAAACCAAGACCCTAAGTACCTTCAGAAACTATGAAGTCAACTTTACCGTGGGGGAGGAGTTTGAGGAGCACACAAAGGGACTGGACAATCGGAAAGTAAAGGTGGGGCACAGAGCCAATGAAAGGAGGATTGTTGGACACTAAATGTGTTGCTCTTGGCTTTAAATGTCTGTGATGTGATATGTCAGAGCCTGGTTGTCTGGGATGGGGACAAGCTGGTCTGTGTTCAGAAGGGGGAGAAAGAAAATCGCGGCTGGAAGCATTGGATCGAGGGAGACCTGCTGCACCTGGTGAGAATAAGCGTGACACACTGGGAACTGGTGTAAATGTATTCCCAGTTTCCTCATTAATAGAATAAATATAAGAACTCTACTTCATTTACTTGAACCAATCATTCCCAGTTGCATCACACTGAGTTGCCTCATGTCTCTGGGCAATAATAATAAAATGCTTTTGAAACATGCAGATGTAAGCTCTGCCTGCTTGTGCAACCAATAGACGCCCTTGTTGCATCACATTCCTCCGAGTCTCAAGGTCTGTGCCTTCTTTTTACAGGAAATCACAGTCCTCGACAAAGTCTGCCACCAAGTGTTCAAGAAGAAGCAATAAAGGAGGAGGAAGATAGATTTTGTGTGTAAAACCCTGACTGCTGTGTGTGTCGTGTTGTGAACTTTATTAAAACATTTTAATACAAATGATGTCTCATTATCCTTTGGATGTGTCATTTCAAAAAGGGCTTGTTTTCTTTCATATCACTTCATCTCCATTCCACTTTTCCTATTTTAGATCATTTAGTATCACAATAAAATGTTCACCACCTCCCAAAATAATGGACCAATTTGTTTCAGTCAATTATTACTGCATTCTTCCAACATGATTGCTTTTGTGATTTTGTGAAACAATCCAAAGACATCAAACAAGATGTTTGAAAGAGAAGTCCAGTTCCACAATCATGGTATTTTAGGGTTCCATGTCCATCAGGTGTTGTTTTGATCATGTGATGTTACTACTATAGATAAAGAAGAGCTGAGCTTTGTAGAATAGATGGCCTCATGCGAAAGAATATAATGTGGAAATATTAAAACATCATACAGGAACTTAAAGCTTTGGGACAACTGGCTCATCTGAATGGACAATGACTTGTAATTCTAAACTTACTTACAAAGTTGTTTAAAAGCAACAAAGTCCATGTTTTGGAGGAGCCATTAAAAATCAAACTCTCAAATAGACTTTGTGGGCAGAGTTGTATGTGAGCAATGCAACCAACATAACTGACCAAGTCATCCGAGCAGCAATCTTTACATGGAGAAAAAGAAAGCATCTTTATTTTTTAATATTTTCAATTTACAGAAACATCTCTGGTCATTGTAAATCAGAAATTTCATTGGAGATTGAAATTTTTTTGTATGTTAGTTTACTCTTTGCAATTTCAGGTGGTGTCATTTGTTTTTTTAAATAGGGGAAGCTTAAGAAAAAATATGTAGCACATGGCAATATTGCTGTAACAATGATGCTGGTATAAATTCCTTAATTTCCCTCCCACCCTTCCTTCCTCATCCCCATTTGTCAGATATAGGCTAAAGGGTCAATGGCAGGAAAGATCTTAGCCAGTCCCACTCTGATGCAATGCATCAGAGTGGGACTGACTGCAAGTATGATAAAAAAAATAATAAAAATCTAAATTTTAGAGTATTTGTATTTTTCTAAGATTACTTCAACAAGCACTATGAATGAGGAGTGAATATTTATTTATGTGGTAGATAAGCAAAGAATAATGTACTGAGACTTTGTAAGAAGGTTTGCTTTTATTCTAAGAGGGGAAAAAAACAAAAATATTCCCCATTTGGTCCAGTTTTTGTCAAGACTAGAGCTGCAGAGAAGCTTAAAGTTGACTGGGAATCTCTAGCAAGTGCTGGAGAGGCTCAAAGTAGAAGAGGAAAAAGGAAATGCAAAATCAGTCTCTTTCTTCCCCCGCCCCCTATCTTATTTTTTTTACTATAAATTATAAAATGCATTGTTTGTGCTCCAAGTGCATAAAATAATGCCATATAGATTTTAAGGTAGGCCAGGTTAATTTAATCACATAATCCGTTTTCTTTTTAAAGATATTTGAGACAAGAGCCAACTTGTAATATTAAGACAGTCCAAATTTGTCCTCGTTTAGCTCCAATCTGCTTTATACTTGTCCCATGTGAAGCAGACCATCTTTCAAGTGATAGACAATATTTTAAGTTAAAGCACTGCTTTGATTCAAGAAGTATAATAATGCAACACCATCTTTATTAAACAAATTTATACAAGGAATACAAATCTTCAATATTCTTCTCCATCTTCCACTGCATCTTCCCGGGCATCTGAGCCAACCTCTTCGTAATCCTTCTCCAAGGCTGCCATATCCTCCCTGGCCTCAGAGAACTCCCCCTCCTCCATCCCCTCACCTACGTACCAATGAACAAAGGCCCGTTTGGCATACATTAGGTCAAACTTATAATCGAGTCGAGCCCAAGCCTCTGCAATAGCCGTGGTGTTGCTCAGCATGCACACAGCCCTCTGAACCTTGGCCAAGTCACCACCAGGAACCACAGTGGGTGGCTGGTAGTTGATGCCAACCTTAAAGCCAGTTGGGCACCAGTCCACAAACTGGATGGACCGCTTGTTTTTAATAGTCGCAATGGCAGCGTTGACATCTTTGGGCACTACATCACCACGGTACAGAAGGCAGCAAGCCATGTACTTGCCATGGCGAGGGTCACATTTCACCATTTGATTGGCTGGCTCAAAGCAGGCAGTTGTGATCTCAGCCACAGTGAGCTGCTCGTGGTACACCTTTTCAGCAGAGATCACAGGAGCGTAAGTGGTCAGAGGGAAGTGGATGCGTGGATATGGCACCAAATTGGTTTGGAACTCTGTTAGATCCACATTAAGGGCTCCATCAAAACGAAGAGAAGCGGTGATTGAGGACACAATCTGGCTGATCAATCTGTTCAGGTTTGTGTAAGAGGGTCGCTCAATGTCAAGGTTTCTGCGGCAGATATCGTAGATCGCTTCATTGTCCACCATAAAGGCGCACTCTGAGTGTTCCAGGGTGGTGTGAGTGGTCAGGATGGAGTTATAGGGTTCCACTACAGCAGTTGACACCTGAGGGGCAGGGTAGACTGAAAATTGCAGCTTGGACTTTTTGCCGTAGTCCATGGAGAGACGCTCCATCAGTAGGGAGGTGAAACCAGAGCCGGTTCCTCCACCGTAGCTGTGGAAAACCAGGAAGCCCTGAAGTCCTGTACACTGGTCAGACTGGTGACAGAAAGAGAAACCAATTTGGAACAGCTGCATCAGCTCACCTAAAATAAAACTGCAAAGATTTCCTACCAGTTTGCGAATCCTGTTCAGAACCGGCTCAATGATCGCTTTCCCGATTGTGTAGTGTCCACGGGCATAATTGTTGGCAGCATCCTCTTTACCAGTGATCAGCTGCTCTGGGTGGAACAACTGGCGGTAGGTGCCAGTGCGCACTTCATCTGACAGATACCGACATAGACTTCTATCAACCTTGAGAAATTATGTTGAAGTTTAACAAGTGCTCTGCTTACCAATTACTGAGGGCTCTAGATCCACAAAAACAGCTCTCGGAACATGTTTCCCTGCTCCAGTCTCACTGAAGAATGTGTTGAAAGAATCATCCCCACCACCAATCGTCTCATCACTGGACATCTGGCCATCCGGGTGAATCCCATGTTCCAGGCAGTAGAGTTCCCAACACGCATTACCGATCTGGACGCCAGCCTGACCAACATGTATGGAGATGCATTCACGCTGTGGAGTTAGACAAAAAAAAAAAATTGATTACATCTCCAAGCCTCAAAACCCTCGCTGGAGCCAAGCTGCCCTTTTCTTCCCATAGCAAACAATAAGGGTTCTTGTAATATCAGAATCTGGCAAATGAAACTTGTTTAGCAGAAGACTTGAATCTGATATGCATGTTTTCATTTGACAACCCAATAATAGAAGCCCTACTGTGAACAGATCCCCGTTAATACTTCCACTTCATTGACTGAAAAGGACACAGGTGGAGCTCATTGAACCTGGGGAGGTGATTTCTCCACAAACGTGAGGTCTGTAATGCTTATGAAGACATTCTGAAGTTAAAAACTGTGGCTTCCATTCATTAAAGGACCAGAAAACTTCTAAGAAGCAGTTTAAATAGAGCGTCGCCTCCCACACATAGCCAAAAAAAAAACGGGGAACAGCCACGGATTTTGACGGAGGGGGGAAATAAAATCTATCAGTTCAACAACAGACTTTTAGGAATTGAGCTATGCTAATGCTTTAAACATAACATTCATACGCACCATTTTTCGGAAGCCAAATGACTGAAGACAAACGCTGCGAATCTTGTCCCACCGGCAGGAATGTTGCGAAAGCCTGTTGATGCGGCAATTAAATACATCTGCGTCGGAAGTAGGTATTTTATTCTGATACGTCAGATCGCAAGTGACAGCTTTCAGGATTGGTTGAAAATGAACATTGTGACAGAGCACAAGGTTTACCTCAAAGCCACAACAACATGTGGGAGAGCGTTGCTTTTAAAAACCACTTTGAAAAATACACTCATGCAGTTTTCAGAAAACCCCAAAGCAATTAAAATGGAGTTTGTCAGGTTCCACTTCTTTTTAAAGTCTGTTAGCGCCCCCTAACGTTCAAACAATCTTGTTAAGCAAGTCTTGCTTTGTAAAAACAATAAAAAAATAAATAAAATAACTAAATAAATAAATAAAAAAAGATTTAATTTGATAAATTAATTTATGTATTTAGGCCTATTGTAAAGGTACCCACATATTTGATAATGCAGTGCTGTTCATTATCAATAGTAATGGGAAATGAAATGTATATAAGTGACTTGGAATCTCTGGTTGAATTTTATTTTTATTTTTATTTATTTATTTATTTTACTTATGCATTCTGCTGTATAGCTATCTGTTGTGCTTCCGCACTTTTTGTTTCCTACATTTAGCTCAACTCAAAGGTTTTTGTTTCCTGTGTTGATTTGGCCATGTTGGATCATTATCTCAATGAGAAACAGGTGACTTCACATTTATGAAAAGGAAGCTACATCAGTGACTCCTGAATTAGTAAAACATTTAATTTCAAATTTAACTAATTTAATTTCAGACTAGGGGTTTTTATTATTATTATTTAAAGTATATGCTTTCATTTGCCTTCTGATTTTTGTGGGGATTTCAAAGTTCACAATTCTTACGCCAGAGGGAGACAAAGTCACTGTTTGTTTTTCCCTACCACCCTTTGTTTTGATATTAAATGACTTGAAGTTCTATCACACATTTGAGGAACATGGCAGTTCAAAGTGCTATACATCATAAAAACACACAAAAATTACAAAGTTGTAGAAAACACAGTCAACAATTCTTGCGTCATTCCTAACATCCTCTCCATAATCAGGCACAGGCACCATTATGTTGTGGGAAAGTTTTTCTTTTTTTTTTAAATAGAGACAGTGACATTGGTCAGACTTGATGAGAAGATAGAATAAAATTTTCCCATTGTGGAGCCTGTGATTATAACATTCTAAGACACATTGAAGAAGGCAGCTTCAATGTGACAAAATAATAATAAAAAAATAACTCAGCGGGTATTATTTTGGCAAACCACAGTAAATTATCTACAAATTTAAATCAATCCAAATTCCGCGTGCTCGCTGATTTAAACTTAACTAAACTAAACGGTTTGATGTAATGCCGACAAAATGCCACATTCCTAAAATAAATTCAGTTTTTCTTTATTGTCGTGCATCAGTATATGTATGAGTTGTCAGGTACAAAGTGTTCTCCTGAAAACGCTGAAAGATCCACGTTGCAAAAAAACTTTTAAGTCAAGTTTGCGTCGACACAGATAAACGGGAAGTTAAATTTCTCCTCTTCAAAGTAAAAAGACAATTTGAAAGGGACAATAGAAAATCCACAAACCCCTAGCAAACGTCAGAACTGCTTCACCATATTAGCTTATAAAACTTAACCTCATAACATAGCTATTCATGCGCAAAACATTTTTCTCTTAGGCTTCAGTTTTGTTCATGTTTTTTTTTCTCTTCTTCTTCATTTTTTTGCTAAAGGCGTCAATTTTGTCACTCGTCACTTCGGGCAAAGTATTTACTTTGTAAAGCATCACCGGAAGTTGTTTAGGTATTGTCTTCAGCACAATAATAATCCAACTTTTCTCCGCTTCTCTCCGGGAGCAGCAGGATGATAGGTGGGTTTTCCCTGGACTATAACTGAGACACGCGCTGACGTGGAGACATGGTAGGTGTCCTAAACAAAGTATTTATCACGTCACAATTTAAAAATGTGTTATTAGCAGAACTTCACTTGCCACCCTGATATACCTACCTCAATGGTACTTAGAAAGAAGTGCAGTAAACTCTCACAGCTCAAAATAATCAAATAACCAATATGTACATTGAACCTTCATAATAAGCATTTCATTTGAAACATCTAAGCAAACTCAACGTGTTAGAATGTGTTTTATTCATTCTTCTGTCGTACGATCAGTAAAAATGATCGATGTGAAAGAAAATTTAGGCAGGCATGCATGCAAAATGTGGTGTGGGAAAAGAGACACACCCACTCCCTAACTAAAGCCAGAAGGTGATTTAAAGCTGCAGAGGAGCATCCTCCACCCCCAGCTGATGTTGACCCGTTCGTTTTTATTGTCTCTCACTAACCAGCCTCTGAGGTTGGACATCCAGCGGAGGCTGACAGCTCGGTCAGAGAGAGTGAAGAGTGTGGACCTGCACCCCACTGAGCCATGGATGGTGCTCAGCCTCTACACTGGCACTGTTGTCATCTGGAACCATGAAACACAGGTGTCTATGAACCACTTCTGTCATTTTGCATCACCCTCTCCTAATTTTATTCCAACATTTCACTCAAGAATGCTTATTTTCAGTAAAACAAATGCCTTGCAAAAGGATTCACTTGTCGCCCAAAGTTCAGTCAGATCAAATTTCCAGTCTTGACACAAATTTACAATTGGACTTGAGTCTAGACTTTAAATAGGCCGTTCTACCAAAAAAATATGCATTGACCTAATCTATTTTATTGTAGCTCTTGGCTGTGCATTGAGGGTCACTCTCCTGCCGGTTGGTGATCTTTGGCCTTAGTCTTGTTTTTATTTCTGCATCCAAAAAGTCTACCCCTCTGTATTTAGAGCCAACCAAAGACAAATTTGGTTGATTTTCACACAACAGTTTGATTTGCATACAGGTGGACTCTATTTAGCATTGAGATCATTCGTAAAGGTAGTTGGTTGCACTGGATTTTGTACCGGGGTGTCAGAGTGAAGGGAACTGAATGCAAATACATGCCACACATTTCAGATTTTTTAAATATGAAAGACAGTAAATGAAAACCTGTATCAATTTCTCAGTATCACATCAAATCAGAATCAGAACTACTTTATGGATCCCCAAGTGAAAATTGTGTATTTGTTGACAATTACTCAAATTCAAGAGCTTTAAAATATTACAAAATACAACTACAGGCACACATATTAAAAAGATTAATTATATGGAAAATGTCAAATTACAGGCAATTTAATTAACCTAAACAGCGATAATATAATATAAAGATAAAATAAAATAAGTATGTACATGGAAAATTGAAATATGTCCTTCAAAAAACCCTTACAATGATAAATTTTGCAAAGATCTCTGTGGCATGAACTCTTTAGTAATACTTCTACTGTCTGACCTTGCTTCTCTGTTCCTAGGCAATTATTAAATCCTTTGAGCTGTGCGATCTGCCTGTTAGAGTGGCCATGTTTGTAGCCAGGAAACACTGGATCATTACTGGAGCAGTAAGTTGTTTCTGGATTAAAGTTTGTGTACAAATTATTCTGTGACTCTAATTTTGCAAAACAAAAGCAGCTATTCTGCTGCTGTGGACTGAATTGGGATCATGTTTTGATAAATCTGTTTGCTTGCCCACAGGATGACATGCAGATCCGTGTGTTCAACTACAACACGCTTGATAGGGTCTTCATGTTTGAAGCCCACTGTGACTACATCCGCTGCGTCGCTGTGCACCCCACGCAGCCCTTTGTCCTCACCAGCAGCGGTAGGAAATGCCTACCTAGATTCATGCGACATACAGTCATCCAAAATCAACATGTAACCCTTTATTGAGTTGTCTGATGAGCAGTGTGTGTTTCTAGATGACATGCTGATCAAACTGTGGGACTGGGACAGAAAGTGGACGTGCTGCCAAGTGTTTGAGGGACATGTACACTACGTCATGCAGGTCGTCTTCAACCCTAAAGACAACAACCAGTTTGCCAGTGCCTCTTTAGACAGAACCATTAAGGTACAAAACAGGCAGACATAGGTGATCACAGACTAATACTATACTACAACGACAATTCTATAATACTAATGCTACAACTCATCTTGCTGTACTGTAGGTGTGGCAGTTGGGCTCCAAGTGTCCCAATTTCACTCTTGAGGGTCACGAGAAAGGAGTGAACTGCATTGATTACTATAACGGAGGAGACAAGCCCTACCTTATATCAGGAGCTGATGATAATCTTGTGAAGATCTGGGATTATCAGGTAATCCAACACAGTGAATGCATATATACATGGATCCTGAGGTAATACACTTAGTATCACATTAAAAAAGAACAGCTATTATAAGATTAACAGTAAGCATGATTTAAAAAAAAAAAATATTCAGCTCCAAATAAAATCTACATTAAACGAGTGCTACAAAAGCCATACATTTTTTGACCAAGAGCAAAAGTGTCTCAAGCACAAATTTAAAGTGTATTTTATTGAGTTCCAGCTGTGTTTATATTAGTTGACTAACATTCCTCTTTTGTTTCTCATAAAGAGCCTGCTGACACCTACAAACATGACTTTTGAGTGCATTTAGAAAATTTTTCTGTATCTGGTCGCAGGTTATTTGAGTGCTCTAGTCTGAGTAATGTCGTCTAATTTAAAGCATTTCCAGCTTTAAATTAGAGGAAAACTCAACAGTGGTGGTCCTCCAATGGGGGCTGTACGAGTGGGCATTACTCAGGTCTTTGTTACTCAGTTATAGATTTACTGACCATAATAGATGAAGGAAACTGATGGCAACAAGTTCTGGAATAATCTATGTCAGTTCTGCACTCGTGAGAAACTTAGCTAGGCACACCTCTTCCTAAAGCAAAAAAAGAAAACCAACCAGTCACATGGCAGCTCTTCGGCTTGGTGTCAGATGGTATGTTCTTGAGTGTTGGATAAACTAGTGATCAACCAGGATTATTGGGACAAAACTATGTCTTGGATTTACAAAGCACTTTTCAATATCTACATGTCTATCAATCTACATGGAAACTTGGAAAACAGAATGTCAGTTTTGAAATGAAGCCATTTAACTTTTCCAAATAATAGAAAGTTTTCATCTGAAAACTGAAAGCGACATATTCTGTAGGTGGTTTGTATTAATACCACAAGGTAAAGCCTTCACCTCTTCTGATTTTATTTACCAGAACAAAACGTGTGTTCAGACCCTGGAGAGTCATGTGCAGAATGTGACTTGTGTCTGCTTCCACCCTGAACTGCCAGTCATTCTCACAGGATCTGAGGACGGTGAGTAAAACTTAATACTGGGTCACAAAGAGAACACTAACCTGATTCCACTATGACACATCCACAGGCACTGTCAGAGTTTGGCACTCCAACACCTACAGACTTGAAAACACACTTAATTACGGGATGGAACGAGTGTGGTGTATATGTGGGCTGTCTGGCTCCAACAATATAGCTCTGGGCTATGATGAAGGCAGCATCATCATTAAGGTTTGTGCACCGTCAAAGCTTTAAATGAGTGCACTATTACATCAATGAGTGCACAATTAACATATATTTATATTTATCCTCACCTTGTTTCAGCTGGGCCAGGAGGAGCCAGCCATGTCCATGGACTCCAGTGGGAAAATCATGTGGGCCCGTCACTCCGAGATGCAGCAGGCCAACCTGAAGACGCTGGGAGAGTCGGAGATTCAGGATGGAGAGAAGCTCCCACTTGGTGCCAAAGATATGGGCAGCTGTGAGATTTACCCACAAACCATTCAACACAGCCCCAATGGCAGGTGAGCCATTGCAGAATGGGAAATTGACAAAAGCAGTCATCATGTGTGACCCAACCAGGAGTCGTTTTAAAATCGACATTAAGTGTCAGCATCTTCATTTTGGATGGAAAGGCAAGCTTGTGTGAACTGGAATGCTTGACATTAGTGCTTGTAGAACAGTCGATGTATTTGTACATGTTAATGGTTTGGGTGAACCTCGTGTGTTATTGTTGTAGTCAATTTTATTTTCACAAAACTTGACAGGTATTCTGTCTGAGATTTCTAAATGGGTACTTTATATGGTGTGTGTTTCATTCTGGCAGATTTGTAGCGGTGTGTGGAGACGGGGAATATATCATCTACACCGCGATGGCCTTGAGGAACAAAAGCTTTGGCTTTGCTCAGGAGTTTGTCTGGGCACACGACTCCTCACAGTAAGGCCTACCAATTAAAGGAAGACTTTAATCACTGAAATCTCTAAACTGACTTTTTTGTATCTTTTCAGAATTAAAAGTTTGGATTTCAGAGGAAGTGATAAAAATGAATAAGACTTTAGCTGCCTTTTTAAAGTTGTCAGAACTGTAGCACAGAGGATATACAGATAATATTATATCCTCTAATATTACCATTAGATGCTTGTGTTAAAACAAGGCTTGACTTCCTGTTCATACGTTCTGTTTGAGTTACGTCCTGGTGTGAAGTCATGAAAATCTCCCATTGGTATTAACCTTGTGATGCTCCATGATTTTACCATCTGAGCTTTTCTTAATTATACCCAGTTGAAGAGGTTCAGTGAGGTCTGAATGGATCATTAGGAAGATCAAAATGGCAGTTTTTGAAAAATGTTTATCTCTTCTCTAATCCAACTCACCGGGTTTTTTGTCCAAAGCTCTGTCCCAACAGCATAAACCCAGTATTTAAAATTACATGCCAGTTTTGTTTCTGTCCAGGTATGCCACGAGGAAAGGCAATAGCGTGGTGAAAATATTTAAAAACTTTAAAGAGAAGACGACTTTCAATCCTGATTTTGGGGCTGATGGTACGTTTTTTTGCCATTTAAATCACGTTTTTCTACATTCCAAGCAGTAAAATGAACTGAGTGTATGTACTGACCAATCAAAGTGCTTTATCTGTATTTAAAAGTGTAAACATATGTATGTTTTTGAAATGTGTTGTCTTTAAATGGCACCACATTTGTGAGAAAATTTGGTTTCAGATTTGAGCAGCAGAGTTGGTTATGTTGGTACCACCCACAAATAACTCGTCAAATCCTGCCTGCCAATGCGTGTTCTGGCATTGTCCCTTATTGGGGTTGTTTATTGAACTGGGGGATGTACCACTTCTCAACCGGTTCTTGTTGCAAGTCAGCTGATGTGGCTGTGTTGGTCACTCTGGTGCGAACAGCTGACCCAAGCTGTTCAATGAATTTCAGCAAATTTAAGAATTTATCATGTTTTCTCCCAAATTCTGGAGGTAAACCTGATAAACTCTGCCCCGAGGGAACAAATCTTGCCACCTTGAAGGATGGAATTTAGTCCCTAAAAATGATATAGGGTTAGATCTTGATAATTTGGAAGTTGCCTCCAAAGACAAAAGAAAAACCTTGTTTTTCCAGTATGTCACCCTGTACTGTCACCACCTCCACAAAAAGTTGTCTGGTACTGACATGTTTTTAATGGTTGCAACCCGCAAAGGTATTTTCCTTGCAAATATGGCAAAGAAAATAATCTTCCAAATTTCCCTATTTTAATTGATATGTTAATTTTTTTATCTCTTCCTATTAGGCATCTTTGGTGGCTTCTTACTGGGAGTGACATCAACCAGTGGACTGGCTTTCTATGACTGGGAAAGCTCCAGTTTGATCCGCCGTGTTGAGATCCTGCCTAAGCATGTCTGTCACAATCTCCTTAGTGCTAGTCTGAATGCTATGACTGCAGCTTTTTCATAAGCCTGTCATTGGTGCCTGCAGATGTTCTGGTCTGACTCTGGGGAGCTGGTGTGTATTGCTACAGAAGAGTCCTTCTTTGTGTTGCGCTACCTGGCAGAGCGAGTGTCAGCAGGACAAGAGTCTAAAGAAACGCTGACAGAGGATGGGATAGAAGATGCTTTTGAGGTCAGAGCTGTTTCTGGTGGTCTGTTGTGAAATCGTATCATGAGATGCTGATATAAAAGAGAAAACTTCATTGTCTTTCCTTTCAGTTTTCCTTTCATGGCTTCTGTTTGTTGTGATTCTTCTGTTTTTCAGGTACTGGATGAGGTCCAGGAGATAGTAAAGACAGGTTTGTGGGTCGGAGACTGCTTCATCTATACCAGCTCTGTAAACAGACTCAACTACTATGTTGGAGGAGAGATCATAACTATTGCTCACTTGGACAGGTAGCAAATTTTCATTTGCTTTTATAGGCTAACAAATTAAAAGGTGCATTAAAAAGCCATTTTATTGTAAAAACTCTAAATAGGACCATGTATCTGCTGGGCTACATCCCAAAAGACGACCGTCTCTATCTAGGAGACAAGGAGCTCAATATCATCAGTTACTCCCTGCTGCTGTCTGTGCTGGAATATGAGACAGCTGTCATGAGGAAAGATTTCACCACGGCTGACAGGGTCCTTCCCACAATACCAATGGAGCAGAGGACCAGGGTCGCCCACTTCCTGGAGAAACAGGTATCAATGTCCTCCCAGCTTTTGACGTTTACTGCCAATCTAGTAATGTTGTACTTCCTTCTAAGATTTAGAAAAGACAAGGAAGCCAGATGTAGTCAGATCTCTGGTTAAAATGTTTTGTTTTATGGCAATGGCAAGGTCCTTACACTCACCTCACATTTAACTGTGGTTATATGACAGCAATGTTTCAGTGTAAATGAAGAAGGCTTAATGTTTTTTTGTTTTGTTTTGTTTTGTTGGGTTTTTTTTTGTATTTTCTTTTGCTGTGTAGGGGTTCAGACAGCAGGCGCTGGCTGTGTCCCCTAACCTGGAACACAAGTTTGAGCTTGCTCTGCAGCTGGGCGAGCTGAGGATGGCGCATGAACTGGCACTGGAGGCAGAGGTCAGAGAAAGCCTCATGCTAGTGTGTATTGTATATGGCTGCAGTTAGGCGCTGCCTTAAAAACATGATAAGAGAGAAAGAAATCCCACTAGAATTTTAGATTTGTCTGACAGGTCATTTTTATTCTAAAAAACATTTTGATAATGGAAATCTGAAAAATCTATATTAATTTAAGCCTCAATAGATTTTGTTTAAAGGTGACCTTAGTTGAATGTGTTAGGATAGGTCTGTGTGCTATATAAAATATGTTCATTATATTTTTTGCACAAAATCATTGTAAGCTAATGAGATTTTAGTCTGGTCAATTCTATTTGGGCCCCTTTCAGAATGAGCTGTTTCAAGGCTTCTTGTCACTTTAAATCCAAATAAGCTGCTGCTGGAAGTGCTCTCCCAAATCAGTGTTTACACTCACACTTGAAAATGGCTACAGACAGATGAGCAATTATACAACCATGCATCTTTGAAAAGCATTAGTAGAATTTCTTGTTTGCACAACCAATAAGAATGAAGCAAGTGGCTTCTGGACAGTAAGTCCACAACAAAACGCTTGCCTTTTCCAGCAGCCATTGTACAGCGCATACAGTGTTAAAACCAGCTGATCAAACGTGTTTTGCTATATTGGGGCTGCTAGGTAACGGGCAGGGCCACTAGGTGAGGGACACTGTCTGCTGATTTGTGACATTACATTTAAAAGGTTTTTGAAATGCCTCATTTTCTAGTCACATTAACTTATTGTAAAAACAATATATATTAAAATAAAAAAAGGCTGGGTTTTTTTGAAGTGCTTGTTAATTCCACTTGGGAAGTACCCAGACAGAAGTACAAAAACATGTAAAAAGTGAATTTTACAACATCTGTGTAAGGGAAAGAGAGCTATTATTCAGGTTCAAGACGGTCAACAATCTTTTCTGTTGTCTTTTTGACTCCTCTGCGTGTCGGTGCTTCAGTCTGAGCATAAATGGAAGCAGTTGGCTGAAGTCGCCTCTACAAAGGGGCAGTTTAGCCTGGCTCAGGAATGTCTGCACCAAGCACAGGATTACGGTGGATTACTTCTGTTGGCAACCGCCTCAGGCAGCGCAGACATGATAGGGAAACTGGCCGAGGGAGCGGAGAAGGATGGGAAGACCAACGTGGCCTTCCTCACTTACTTCATGCAAGGAAGGTTGGTGTTTCTGGAACAGTTTGTCCTGTTTTTGTTGTTTTTAACAGCTGGTGTGTTGTTACTCTTATATTTTGTTTTGTCAGAACTGACAAATGTTTGGAGCTGCTTATTAAAACTGATCGATTGCCAGAGGCTGCTTTCCTGGCAAGAACATACATGCCCAGCCAAGTGTCAAGGTAAAGGTGTTTCTAATCGGTTTTCTGTATGTTGTTGAATGGCTAACTTCCAAACCCTGTTTCTGCAGAACTCCTGCATAAACTACTTTGTAATAGTCATTTTAATTTCCCAAGGTCAGAGTTCAAATAAAGTTGAAAATTTCTCCTCTCCTTAAAGTTTGATGTGAACTGGGCCTGTCTCTCTTCCTCCAGGGTGGTGAAGCTGTGGAAGGAGAACATGTCAAAGGCGAACCAGAAGGCAGCAGATGCGCTGGCTGACCCAGATCAGTACAGCAACCTGTTCCCTGGCCTCCAGCAAGCTCTGCTGGCTGAGCAGTTCCTGAAGGAGACTCATGTTGGGGTCAGACCCGCTGCAGAATACCCAATCGTCGTGGTCAGTGGTCTGTTTTAAGCTCTAACATTGTCAGAAAAAAACTTTAAAATGAGACACGTAGGCTTTAACTGGAGAGCTTTTAGCACTGTTGCTTCAGAATGGTTTGGTTCTAGGATCTCTTACTTCATCCATGAGTTATTCCTAAGTCCAAAGCAGCCAGCTTAGGTTAGGTTAACTGTTTTATTGAATCCAAGTAGGAAGCATGTTTTTTTTGTCCACCTGGCGCCCAATGACTGTGGAGATGAAACAGGTGTAGAAAAGGGATTGATGAATTGCTAGAAATAAATTTTGCTTGTTTTTTTGTTCTCAAGTCAAACGAGGACCGTGATGTTCTGGAGGACTCCAAAGGTTTCATCACCAAAGGAAAGATTACTGAGCCAGGGGTGTCAGACACTAACCAGGTAATCTGCAGATAGATCTTTAGGCTGCATTTTAAACTCTTTGTTTTTGTGAAAATTGAGTTTGTGATTGGAACAGATTGTTTTAAACTGTCTGTAAAGGCTGAATTTCCTTTAATATATTGAAAGAAATTACAATAGAGTGTTTATTTTATGTCGTGACTTTTTTGCTGTTGTAACCAAGTTTTTCAAGCATGAACTCAAATGGTTCTTGACTGACAACAAAGCAATCGCTGTTAAAGAAAACACCTGACCTCTGTGCAATCATCGCCACTTAGTGGCCATCTATGGTATTTCAGGATTTGTTACAGGGATTCCTGTAAATGTCTTGTTTGAAATGGAAAAAAAAACATATTTCTTTTTCGCAAAGTTGTGTAGGAGCCATGATTTCATTGAAAGAAGTTATACAGGAGTATTTTAACTGTTGTGTGATGTTTGTTTTACAGGAGGCAGTAGGATGCATGAATGAAAGCCCTGCTGCATCTTCAGAAGTAATAATAATGGAAGAACCCATTCCAATAAAACATGAGCCTCCTGCTTACCCTGTTCTGGTGACAGAGGACATAATTAGTTTTCCAGAGGAAGCTCCTCTGTCTGTCTTTGCCAGTAAAGACCATGCTGAACCACACCAAGCACAGTCTGAGTGTCGAGTTAAAGGGGAAAACATGAAATCAGAGACTTTACTTATTGCCGAGGAACACTTGATCCAGAAACCCTGCACTGAGGTTCCTGCCAAAGACTCAGAGGCCATACAGTCCAGTCCAGTGGAAGTTGTAGGTTCATCTGATGAGGTGGCTGATCAGGGCAGAGCTTCAGCAGCTGAGGCTCAGCCAGCTATTGCGGTATCTGAAGAGGAAGAAAGACAAACAGCAAATGATGTGCCAATTAGCACGGACTTAAAAGCCAATTCTGGAATCGCATCAGAATCTGCAGCATTCGAGGAAACATCCAGCCCTGATCAAGAAGAAACAGACACCATTTCCATGGTTGCTATAGCTAAAGAAGAAACGCCAATTGCAAAGCAACTGGTAGAGGAGCTCGTCTCTTCAGAACCAACAGAACTTTCCCTGCTGGATGTTCCATCAGCCACAGGCCAGGCTTTTTCAGATCTGATCCTCGATTCAGCGCTAGACTCAGATGAAGATGCATCAGCGGCGTTGAAGCCTGTCGCTGTGTGGGAGGATGAGCAAGAGCAAGAGGAGAAAACTGCAGAACCTCCAGCAGAGACGGAGGATGGGTCAGAAGTGGGCAGTCTTCCTGAGGCTGAACCAGAAGGATCACACGGCACAGCAGAGGCAACCGTGGCAGAGCAGGAAGCAGGCTCTGAAAGATCACAGGACCCAACTGAAGATCTCGAGGAAATAATCAACCATGAGGTAAATTGTGGCTTTATTTATTAGAAATTAAATTAGGGGAATTTCAGTAAGGTCCTTAATGTAACCTAACATTTCTCTTATCATTCTCTAGGACCTTGATAATCTGGATCTGGACAGTTTTGAACTGGAGGACATTGACAAGTTAGACATGAATCTGCTGGATGAATAGTGGAAGCAACGTTATTTTGGACATTTTCTTGAGTCCAAATAATGAAAAGTAACATTTTTAAAGCAAACCAAAGTTTTCTTTTACTTGAAAGGGGTTAAAATATGGGCCAAATAATTATATACTTTTAAGGCTAAGGGGAGAGCTGTAAAATGCAAGGCTTCATCTTAATGTAGTTAGAAATCTTACCTCTTCTTCTCAGACATTACTGTTGATTATTGTTATGAACAACTTAACAGGAAGGACAGTCTTAACTTAGTACAAAATGTGTTCAGAAATGTTAAAAAAAAAACGCAATTCACTTCTGCATTCTGCCTCATAATGTTAGGGTTTGAAAACACATTTACACCTCAAAGCCAGTACCAATATAACTTGTTTTAAACAAAGAACAGTATTGATGTTATTTCTACCTTTCAGCTACTACTTTTATTGCTTGTCTCTTTTTTTTTCAATAAAATAAATGGATGTCAAAGTGTTTCTGGTCTGGAAAGATGATTTTAATAAGCTTTTCCACATGAATTTCTCTGTATTTTCCAGCATAGCTTGAGAGCTACCTTAACATAATATTTATTGTAAGCTCATTTTGCAACATACATCACTTTAATTCCAGTGATTAAAATGAAATACATACATGAACAAAGTCTGCAAATACAGTATAAAGTTTTGGAGTTGAGTCCTTAGATCGAAGCCTGCCTTTCAGTGAAGATGGACCAAGGAAGGCAAAGAACAGTAGCAGTCAGGTTTCATGTTGTACATAACTTCGACTCTGGCTTTTTGTAACATTTTACTTCTGAAGTAAAAGTTCAGGTTGTTACTAGGATGTTGGGACGTTAGGAAGCCGAGCCTTCAGCGGCTTTCTCTTCGTACGCCTGCAGAGCCAGCTCGATGTAGCCCGACCTCTGAGTCTCTTTTTGAGAATAGATCTGCAGGGACAAACACCACAGGACAGTATTACTAACAAACTCCAGGTATATTGTTTATACAGCCAGGATGGTCTTCAAAGATACATGTGCATTACAGTAAATCATATGACTTAAGAGTTCATTTCTCCCAGAAATTTATTTCTATAAGAAAAGTGTATTGATTCATTCCAAGCATTATTTTCCTTAAATGTTCATCTTAACCGGTTTATGGTGGAAATATTTTCCAGTAGAGGATTCTGATCATGGCTTACAGCAAATACAAACTCCAAGATCCGTTTCTAAGTAAACTACAATGTTACATCATCTAGCAGAAACATGATAGCTTAAATAATCACAATGAAGAGTGAAGATTCAACATTTGCAAAGTGATGCAAATGTTTTTGATTTATGTAAATGATTTATCCTCCATGAGGAGGATAAATCACTAAAGGTCACTGCTGAATTAGTTGGCTGTTGACAATATGCTGTATTTAAGCATATCAATGGAAGGTTGAGTGGAAGGAAAAAGTTTAATAGAATAGAAACACCTGTTATTGTCTCACAGTGGAAAAATGCAGGTGCAACAGCAGCAAATTTTAAAGGCCTTCTATATCAACTGTTCTCTGCAACAATTTCTCTTACAAAAAAAGATATAGTAGTTTTTCATTATTAGCATTTGAAAGTGTGTGAATGGAAATGAATGATTTTATGTGAAGCATCTTTGAGTGTCCTAATAAAGCACTATATAGCTGATGTCATTTCATTTCATAAGCAACCTCAATATACAGACAAAATGAAGAGTAGTGATCCTTATATGTAACCAAGTGTATTTCTGCAGACAAACATTTCTGAGAATGATGTGGTGAGGAGGATACGGAAGTGTAGCTCGTGTGTGGAATCTGTATCTCAGACCGTCTTTACATCTTGGGAGTAGCAACTCAAGGCCTGCATTCCTTATCAGTGTCTTTAAAGACAAGCGAGGATGGGAGGAAAGACAGACAGAAGGTCGGAGAAGCAGGGAGACGAGGAGTGAGGGAGAGACAAGGAAGCTGATCTTAATGCTTCCTCTTAGCTGACACCAACATAGTTGATGCCACCAAGGAGTAAAAAAAACAGAAAAGTTTAAAAAAAAAAAAAAAAAAAAGAATGTTCCATGAGAAGCAGAGTTCAAGAGCCACTGCACACAGACATGACCTACGACTGCTTCCTTCATGTAGCTGAGCCACTCCTGAATCAGAAAGTGTCAGAAGCATCTTAGCTGTACCTCCCGATGCTATAGTCATGCTTTAATGACTATAGTATCACAGTCTTTAACAGGCCTGACCTGAACCCTGCAGTCTGAACTATGGAAAACCAAGGAGTGGATCCAGAATTTCCTGCAATTAGACCTCCAAAAACATAAAAAAAAATATGTATTCCTAAGTCCTAACAATGGAAATAATTTAACTTTTAAAAGCTACACTAACTTATCGGAATCCACCTGTACAAAGATACCATTCTGAGCATCTTCAATAATAAACAGTTCTGAGAGAAAAAAAAAAGAGATTCTGGAAAAGTCCAGAATCTCTCATCCTAGAATAAAACACAAATCTCTGGCAGGAGGTTTTTGATGCAGCCCTGACATAACTATTCCAACTTTTGCTTTAAATCTGAGATTTCAGATTGCAAAGTCATGGGTGGTATGAAATGGAGAGCAGATATTGAGTTGTCCTCACCCTCAGGAGGTCAATACCAGTGGCCTGTTGGCTGGCAGCTTCCTGAGCCGATTCACTGTGTGGATGGACCATATAGAACAGAGACACAAGGCTGATGGCATCTTGTAGCCTGTAAACGGAAAATCATCATAACCAACAGAAGTAAAGGCTTTCAAGTGTCCATCTGTGTGTAATTAATCCATATAACTTTCTTCACTTACATATACAGGTCCTAAATTAAATTGAGTTTTCAATAATATTCTAACTTATTGAATGGGTGTAGATTTATAGGATTATATGAAAACCCCCACATGTCTCTCCTCAGCATGTCCACTATAAGTCCGTCCACTCTGCGAGCGTTGACCAGGTACCAAGCCAGGCCTCCAAAGTGCCTGGTGGATCGCAGAAGATTGTATTTGCCGTTTTTTTCCAAGTCCTCATATGTGGCTTCATGCACCTACAAGGAACAGAAAGTCATTGATAATTTCTCGAGTTGGATCAGGAAAATTCTCTTCCCATCAAACATTCAACTGTAAAAACCAAGATCCTGGGAAAAGTGCTTGGATTGTCAGACCAATTGATACTATTAATACTTTCTTGGTTCCAAATCATAGTGACCAACTCTTTAAAAGCATTTTGCTAATCTGGAGCTTTTAGCTGTGGCTCAGCACAAAGCCATGAGGTTAATAGATTGTTTATGGGCTATTCACAAGTTAAAAAAGGGGAAAGTTTAACACAATTCTCTTTTTTTATGAAGAAATTAAAATCCTATCTACCCATATTTCAGACTCTCTCTTGTTTATCTGTTAAAAAATTTCCTATTTTCCAGTTTTTGTTTCATTTAGTTAGAATAAAGTTACTTACTCTAATGTAATCTGCAGAATCTGGATCAAACTGAACCAGACACAGGTTCAACACATCTTCATGTCGGTCCTGGGAAAACACAGTCTGCAACAGAAAAAGATGTAACGTGGTTAAAAAAAAAGAATTTTATATTTGTTGCACACATGAAGAAATGTGCAAGCAGAAACTTGGAAAAGATTCACATGACATTATGGCCTTATGTATACTGACCATAAGATGTTTCGAAAACACACTGAAATATTAAGATTTCTGACACAGTCTAGGAAAAGGATTGTCAGAACTTCATACAGCAACAAAATCCGAAGGTTAAACTAGTGAAGCACAGAGAGCCAGAGGGGAAAAAATACTTGTTTAAACCCAATAGGCTACTGCCCACCTTCAGGTTCTCCTCTTTGAAGAGGACATGTGGCGTCAGCTTCCGGCCCTGCTTGGGAAAATAGACCTGAATGAGACGATCTCTCTCCTCCCAAATCGCCTTCCTAAGAGTCCCATCAGGCTCTCGTACAACTATGAACCGCTCCTGAACAAAGAGTAAAAAAGGAATCAAAGATTTGTGGGTGTCATTTGTTCTTATTTTAACCCCACTTAGCAAAATATCTGCACAAAGAGGAACTATAAAGTGTGTACCCTGTGTGGGATGTTGTAGGTGATGTCAGTGAAAACATATTTGGCAGTGTCCATGCCATCCAGGATCTTATCCACAGTCAGGACGTCGTTAATGGGCTTCCGCTCTGGAAGGACGGGGGGCATCTGTAGCTGCTTCTTTGCCTCCTCTGTGGCAACCTGTATAGCCTGAAATCACACACGGGGAATTATAATGATGCAATTTATGAGCTGTGTGTGATACTGAGCTGTAATGGTTACCTGTTCCAGCTGTTCATCCGTCATAAGTTTATAGGTAGGCGGCTTCAGTTCTTGTTTAATGGGACGGAAGACTTTCTGCAGATCCAGTCCAGTTATCCTGCTGAGGATGTCCTGCACAGCTGCATCTGTGAACCGGGCCTTTGCACCAGCTCTTGGTACTGTAGCTTATAACAGATAATCACATCTTCAATAATGACTTAGAGAATCCAAAATGACATTATAACGTGTTTTAAGATATACATATAGCTTCAACAGATGTAGTAACTAGAATAGATTTTAACAATGTCTTATTTTCAGCCTCTTTACACTGAAATGAAATACAAATTTCGGAAAATAATTTTGCAAAGTGTTCATCTCTACAGATAGACATTCTCCCCACATTTAAAGCCGCTATAGCCTGTAGAAGGGGTTAAAACAAGCTACAAGGTCAGAATGAAAACATTATTCAACCATAATAGCCTTATTAAATAATAAAAATGAACCTTTTTCACTTGTTTCATCACAAAACGTCCTCGCGCTACATCTGAGCAATGTTTTCTTGATCCTTTGTACATCTTTAACCCGATAAAAGCTTTGAAACAAGCAACGCGCTGAGCTGAGCGCCGCCATCTTTGTTATTACCTCATCTACGCAGCTGCGCAGTGACGTCTGACTTGTCTCTGGGTGCGCACCATTTGTAGCCCGGAGAGCAAGGCGGTGCAGTTATAGTGATGCATTGTCAAACGGCGCGTCAGCAGGGCCTAGATGCAATGTTTAAATCAATAGGTGACGGCAGAGAATAGAATTGTGATTTTCTTTCAAAACAAACAATGAAGTCAATGTGTCTGCAATACAAGAATGTGTATTGGGATACATTTGGCTTTACAGCGGGGATGTAATAGGGCAAGAAAACCACCTGGCTCTAGGAAAACGAAGCACTCCTCACGATAAATCTCGGACTGTGAAATGCAGATCTTTGTGATCTTTGGAATATTATTTTTGTCAGCCGCCACAGCAATGCACAGGAGAGCAGTTC